GATTCTTTCTGTGAAACAAAGTTCCATCAAACTTTCCAAAATCAAATTAGAAGTTATGGATTTTTAAAAGGAAAGAGAGGCCGGGCGCAGTGGCTCAAGCCTGTAATCCCAGCACTTTGGGAGGCAGAGGCGGGTGGATCAAGAGGTCAAGAGATTGAGACCAACCTGGTCAACATGGTGAAACCCCGTCTCTACTAAAAATACAAAATATTAGCTGGGCATGGTGGCACATGCCTGTAATCCCAGCTATTCAGGAGGCTGAGGCAGGAGAATTGCCTGAACCCAGGAGGCGGAGGTTGCGGTGAGCCGAGATCGCACCATTACACTCCAGCCTGGGTAACAAGAGTGAAACTCCGTCTCAAAAAATAAATAAATAAATAAATAAAAGGAAAAAGATAAAAAATAGCTATGTATTTTTCTTACCTAATTATTCCTTTAAAATATTACATCTCCTAAAGTTTAAAAATGAGATAATTTTGCTTATTTCTTATAAAATTATATAGAAAGCATTGTTGAATATAAAATGGTGCTTGCTTTTCTTTGGGTTGTATTTGTACAAATACATTAGTAGGTGTTCCAAAATTTGGGGGAACTCTTATATGACTTAGTGTACATTATCAGCAATCATAATTGTTATGTTAAATTATCGTGGGCCACAGAGGTAACACATTTCCTTGTGTGTCTTTGACTATGACTGTTCTAAAACTATTTGTCATTCACAGACAGTGGTTGTATTGCTTTGGTCCTCCTTAGAAGGTGGTTTTATAATCAGCTATAAAACTAACAGGGGAGGAATGATCCAAGATGGCCGATCGCTAACATCTCGGGATTTCAGCTTTCAGTGGAAGCGCAGAGAACTAGAGGACGCCACACTTTCAGACAAATTCTGGTTGCTAACGGAGCAGAAGATCCCCAGTGGAGGAGTCACACGGGTCGCCATCGCAATTCTTGTGGCCGGCGCAGCGGTTTTGCCGGCACCTCGGCGAGGTGTGGCAGCTCTCGGAGCAGAGTACACAGGGCTGGCTCCCCTTCTGACTGAGGTTTGGAGGACCCACACGGGTCCCCAGCACGACTCCTGGGGCTGACGCAGTGGCTGTGACAGCATCTCGGCGCAGAATAAACGAGACTGGTTCCCATTCTGACCGAGGTGTGGAGCCCCGGGAAGGCAGAGTCACCTATTACGGACACAAGAAGGAAGCCAGACAGGAGAATCCTGGGCAGAAAAGCACCATCAGTCTCAACGCCGCTGTTCTGGCCCTGGGAACTAACGACTTGGACGTTCACTCAAGAGACGTAATCTGACAGTTGGTAATTTCAAAGACGACAGGAGGATAAATTTACAATGACGGGAAGAAACTAGCGTAAAAAGGCTGAGAATACTCAAAATCAGAACGCCTCTCCCTCTAAAGATGATCACAGTTCCACATCAGCAATGGAACAAGGCTTGATGGAGAATGAGCACATCCCAATAACAGAATCACGCTTCAGGGAATGGATAATAAGAAACTTCTGTGAGTTAAAAGAACATGTTGTAGCCCAACGTAAAGAAACTAAGAACTCTGAAAAAAGGTTTGATGAAATCCTATTGAGAATGGACAATTTAGAGAGGAATATAAGTGAATTACTAGAACTGAGGAATAAAATACAGGAACTCTGAGAAGTATGCACAGGTTTAAACACTCAAATTGTTCAAGCAGAAGAAGGGATATCAGAGGTCTAAGTCCAACTTAATGAAATAAAACAAGAAGACAAGATTAGAAAAAAAAGGATAAAAAGGAATGAGCAAAGTCTCTAAGAAATGTGGGACTATGTGAAAAGACCAAATTTACGTTTGATATGTGTACCTGAATGCGATGGAGAGAATGAATCCAAGCTGGAAAATACCCTTCAGGAAATTATTCAGGAAAATTTTCCTAAACTAGCAAAGCATCAATATTCAATCCCAGGTAATACAGAGAACACCACAAAGATATTCCTCTAGAAGAGCAACCCCAAGGCACACAATCGTTAGATTCACCAGGGTTGAAACCAAGGAGAAAATACTAAGGGCAGCCAGAGAGAGAGGTCAGGTTACCCACAAAGGCAAGCCTATCAGACTTACAGCAGATCTCTCAGCGGAAACTCTACAAGCCAGAAGAGGGTGGGGGCCAAATTCAACATCCTCAAAGAACAGAACCTTCAGCCCAGAATTTCATATCCAGCCAAACTAAGCTTCACAACTGAAGAAAAATAAAATCTTTTATGAACAAGCAAGTACTCAGAGATTTTATTACCACCAGGCCTGCTTTACAAGAGCTTCTGAAAGAAGCATTACACACGGAAAGAAACAACCAGTATTAGCCTTTCTAAAAATATACCAAAAAGTAAAGAGCACCAACATAAAGAAGAATTTACATCAACAAATGGATAAAACAGCCAGTTAATATCAAATGGCAGTAACCGTAAATTTAAACCGACTAAATCCCCCAATCAAAAGGCACAGCCAAAACCCAGTGGCATGGTACATCCAGACCTGTTTCACATGCAAGGATACACAAAGTCTCAAAACAAAGGGATGGAGAAAGATTTACCAACCAAATGGAGAACAAACAAACAAACAAACATAAATAAATAAATAAAAAGCAGGAATTGCAATTCTCGTATCTGATAAAATAGATTTTAAAGCAACAAAGAGATAGTGGTAAAAGGATCAATGCAACAACAAGAGCTAATGATCCTAACACCCAGATACATAGAGACTTCGATTCAATGAGACAGAAAATTAATAAGGATATCAAGGACTCGAACTCAGATCCGGAACAAGTAAACTTAATGAATATTTATAGAGCTCTCCACTTCAAATACACAAAATATACATTCTTGTCAATACCACATCACACCTACCCATAGGTTTAAATGAAACATTGGCCATTATTAATACCCATTTTTTTTTCAGAATAAAGCAATATTTCCGTTCACCCTCCCTCTTTCTCTTCCTCTTTCTTCCTCTCCTTTACTCATTTTTTTCTTTCTTTCCTTCTCTCAAAAAAAAAAAAAAAAAAAGAAATCAACTTGTAGACATCTAGATCCAGGTCGGCAATGTCTCTCACTGCCTGATTTCCTTCCTTCCCTTCTCTCCCTCCCTCCCTCCCTTCCTCTCTTCCTTCCTCCTTTCCTCCCTTTCAAAAAAAAAAAGAAAAGAAAAAGAAAAAAATGGTTCAAAAAAACCCACAAAACTCTAACAGGTGCTCTTGAATCAAAGTTTCTGATAACTTTGGAGATTGTAGGAGAAAAAAAAACTTCAGGACTCATGAAGAGCTGAAAAGTTCATGAATATCAGGCAGAACAAGGATTAGCTACATGCACTGAACTAACATAAGGCTGAAGTAATATACTTTTTTTTTTTTGAAATGGAGTCTCCCTCTGTCAACAGGCATTTGAAGTGGCATGTCAGCTCACTGCAACCTCTGCCTTCCAGGTTCAAGGAATTCTTTGCCCTGGCCTCCCAAGTATCTGGAACTACAGGTGTGCATATCGACTGCAGTCAGCTAATTTTATGTATATTTAGTAGACACAGGGTTTCACCATGTTGGCCAGGATTGTCTCAATATATTGAACTCATGAACCACCGGCCTCAGCCTCCCAAAGTGTTGGGATTACAGGCGTCAGCCACTGCACCTGGTCAAGAATTGTTTTTTCTTTTAATAAGTAACAGGGCACAACTGGAGAAACTTGTTATTTTACCAAAGCTTTGACTGGCATAGTTTTTTTTTTTTTTTTAAATCAAATTTGATTTATGGAGCCAATAATACCCCCTTGGGAAAACTGAAATCTTTTCTACACAGTCCCTGTACTATATTTTCTACTTACCACAGACCAGGATTGTACTTTCTGAAAAATTCAGGAGTTTCAGGTTTATGTTAAAACCTCAACGAGAGAAATTCACCCAACTCAGGTATTTGATAGTACAAATACACAACTGGGCTTGACTTTCAAAGACTTTTTTTTCTTTTCTTTCCACAGGTGCTACTGTAACCTTTTCTTTTTTTTAATGAGAAAGTGTTTTGCTCATTTCTTAAGTTGGACTGCAATGGCACAATCTTATCTCACCACAACTAGTTCCTCCCAGGTTCAAGTGACCCTTTTGCCTCAGCCTTCCAAGTAGCTGGGATTACAGGCATGCACCACTATGCCCAGCTAATTTTTTTGTAGAGACAAGAGTTTCTCCATGTTGGTCAAGCTACTCTCAAGCTCCCAACCTCAGGCAATCTGCCTGCCTCCATCTACCAAAGGGCTGAGAGTAGAAGCATGAGCCCAAGAGATTATTAGGTGGGCATTATTTATAATCTTTTCTACAGATAACTAAAGAAATTGAAACAGAAGATGCATAATGAAAATCTAAGTTGAGAGGCTCTTTGGGGTTGTTATACTATTGAGTGATGCATGAGGTAGGTATGTGTTCAGAGTCATATTCTGCATTATGAGAAGAAAACGTTTAATTTTTTAAAAAATCAAATTGGTAGTTATTTTTGTACTAATTGTACTTTTCCATAATAAAATACAGTATTTTGAAAATTTTAACTATCAAGTTTTTTTTTTTTTTTGAGACGAGTTTTGCTCTAGTTACCCAGCCTGGAGTGCAATGGCACAATTGACTCACTGCAACCTCCGCCTCCTAAGTTCAAGCAATTCTCCTGCCTCAGCCTCCCGAGTTGCTGAAACTAAAGGCGCGAGACAGCATGCCCAGCTTATGTTTTGTGATCCGCCCACCTCAGCCTCCCAAAGTGCTGGGATTATAGGCGTGAGCCACCGCGCCCGGCCTTCAACATTTTTAACATGTTAAATACTACTGTGCATTCAGTGAAATGTTATCATACCACCACCTTTAACCTCTTCCACCTTACTAAAGGGTATAGGTAGAAGACGGTAACAATATGCTCTTTAATAACATGATGGATTAACATCTCTAGTGACTTTTCTGTGCCAGTGGCTTTCAGCTGCAAAGAATTTAAAGAACATCGTTTCTGTAGGTATAATTTTTATTGTTGTTGTTATTTAACATCATTTTGAAAATATTCTATGAAATATTTCACTGCTAATGTCATGAGGTTGCATTGTATCTGTAGATTATTTTGTGTAATAGAAATATTTATTAATAATGCAGGTTCATGAATAATTATCTTAGTATGTATTACTTAATTTATATTATGTCCTTTATTGTAAAATGTATTCTTCTGAAAACCAATATGAATCTCACCAATATGATTTCTTTGATGGAAAGAAAAGTTTGAAATGTTGTCAAAGTATATGTCACATGTTTCTGCTTTGTAGAGTTTCTTTCCAGTATGAATTATTTCATGTCTTTTAACAACTGAGGACTCATTAAAGGTTTTGCCATATTTTTCACCCTTATAGGGTTTCCCTTCAGTGTGGATTTTCTTATGTTTAGTAAGATATGAATACTGGTTAAAGATTTTGCCACATTCTCCACATCTGTATACCTTCTCTCCTGTATGAATTCTCCTATGTCTCCTAAGGTATGAGGATAGGGTAAAGGCTTTGCCACAATTTTCACATTTGTAGGGTTTCTCTCCAGTATGAATTCTTTTATGATTAGTAAGGTGTGATGATTGTTTAAAGCCTTTGCCACATTCTTCACATTTGTAAGATTTCTCTCCAGTATGAATTCTTTTATGATTAGTAAGGTGTGATGATTGTTTAAAGCCTTTGCCACATTCTTCACATTTGTAAGATTTCTCTCCAGTATGAATTATTTTATGTTTTGTAAGGTATGAAAATTGGTTAAAAGCTTTGCCACATTCCTCACATTTGTAGGGTTTCTCTCCAGTATGAATTTTTTTATGTGTACTAAGCCGTGAGGACTGGCTGAAGGCTTTGCCACATTCTTGACATCTGTAGCGTCTCTCTCCAGTATGAATCATCCTATGTGTACTAAGCCTTGAGGGGTGCTTAAAAGCTTTGCCACATTCTTCACATTTGAAGGGTTTTTCTCCAGTATGAATTATCTTGTGTCTAGTAAAGGTTGAAGACTGCCTAAAAGCTTTGCCACATTCCTCACATTTGTAGGGTTTCTCTCCAGTATGAATTCTTTTATGTGTAGTAAGCCGTGAGGACCGGCTGAAGGCTTTGCCACATTCTTGACATTTGAAGCATTTTTCTCCAGTATGAATTATCTCGTGTCTAGTAAAGGTTGAAGACTGCTGAAAAGCTTTGCCACATTCTTCACATTTGAAGGGTGTCTCTCCAGTATGAATTATCTTGTGTCTAGGAAAGGTTGAGAACCACTTAAAGCCTTTGCCACATTCTTCACATTTGTAAGATTTCTCTCCAGTATGAATTTTTTTATGTTTTTTAAGGTATGAAAATTGGTTAAAAGCTTTGCCACATTCCTCACATTTGTAGGGTTTCTCTCCAGTATGAATTCTTTTATGTCTAGTAAGCTGTGAGGACCGGTGGAAGGCTTTGCCACATTCTTGACATCTGTAGCGTCTCTCTCCAGTATGAATCATCCTATGTGTACTAAGCGTTGAGGGGTACTTAAAAGCTTTGCCACATTCTTCACATTTGAAGGGTTTCTCTCCAGTATGAATTATCTTGTGTCTAGTAAAGGTTGAGAACCACTTAAAGGCTTTGCCACATTCTTCACATTGGTACAAATTCTCCCCAGTATGAACTCTTTGATGTTGACTTAGGTATAAAAGCATGCAAAATGATTTGTCACATTTTGTACATTTGAAAGGTTTTTTTCTAGTATGTCTTGTCTTATGTCTATTTGAATTTAAAAATGTATGAAAGACTTTTACATATTTATCACATTGCAATATTTTGCTCTGAGTAGCTGTCAAACACTGGCTTACTTCATTATAACCTTCCTTGTGCACCTTTAACTCATCTACACTTTCACAGCCTTTTCTTAACTGTAAATTCTCATGTCCACATTTTCCATATCTTCTCAGTATCACCTGTTTAGAAGAACCTTTCATGTCTTGCTCTGGCCAAAGGTTTTTGGGAAAATAACACATAGCTGAAAGAAATAAAAACAACAAATCATTAAACTTACTATATATAGATAAACATACTTTACAAATCTAATCTATATGATACAAACTACATCAGCAAGATGCCATAACAAAACACTACAGGCCCTGAATCCTTCATAGACATATAAATGTAATAAAAATCACTTGAGAAAAACTTAAATGTGTAAAGTTCCCCAGGTGAGTACAATGCAAAGACACGGAAGAAAAAGAAAAGTCTGTTATATTTACCCAACACAGTTCTTTCTGCTCTCCAATATAACACAGTGCTTTTCAAAGTAAATCCCTAACTTTTGGGTTCTTTTTTTAATAAATAAGTAAAATACTGACACATACATCTATATTAATTGATTCTAGGGGTCTTTCTAAAAACTGGTCTCCCATAACATAAAGTGCTGGAAGAAATGGTAGTGTATTTTGGAATGACAGTTTGGGTTTGCTGAGACCAAAGGTAAATGTTACAGCAACAGAGAGACTGCAGTGCAACAGACAGAAAACAGATGTCACAAATGATTACTGATTAAGATGAGCAGAGATCAATTCCCTTAACTAAAAATTAAACACAAAATTTTAGACAAGATACAGTCTTCTTTTTAACAAAAGAGACAAGGTTTCACCATGTTGGCCAAGCTGGTCTCTAACTCCTGGCCTCAAGTGATCCACCCACCTTGGCCTCCCAAAGTGCTGGGATTACAGGCATCAGCCACTGGACAAGATACATTCTAAGAACATGTTTGAGAGTATCCCAGAATCTCTAACCAAGATAATTGTTTTCAGACTATGCCAGGACAGAGCTACATTATAAAGATTGTGAAAAGTAGCTTTATTTAATGTCCAAATCTTAAAGATTACAATGAATACAAAATATGGCAAAATAGTTCCAAAACAAATTATAAAATTTTCAGGAAGAAACCATAAAAACGATGTAGACGTTAATTTTAAAAATTGAAAATAAACTGAATACTCAATGAGTAAAGTAGAAACACAAAGAACTATAGAGAATCAGAATAAAATGAGGGTAAGAACAAAAATATAGCCTGGTGGTTCACACCTGTAATCTCAGCACTTTGGGAGGCTGAGGTGGGCAGATCATGAGGTCAGGAGATTAAGACCATCCTGGTCAACATGGTAAAACCCCATTTCTACTAAAAAACAAAAACAAAAACAAAAACAAAATTAGCCAGGTGTGGTGGTGCACACCTCTAGTTCCAGCTACTCAGGAGGCTGAGGCAGGGAAATTCCTTGAACCCATGAGACAGAAGAGATCATACCACTATACTCCAGCCTGGCTACAGAGCAAGACTCCATCTCAACATATGTGTGTATGCAAAAAACAAGAAACTGTAAATTTAAGAAACAGAGAAAATATAACTAAGAAATTCTTAAAGAAAAAACATCAAAATGAAGAAGCTTGCTGGGCACAGTGGCTCACGCCTGTAATCCCAGCACTTTGGGAGGCTGAGGCGGGTGGATCACCTGAGGTCAGGAGTTGGAGACCAGCCTGACCAATATGGTGAAACCCTGTCTTTAAAAATAAAAAATAAAGCTCAGGCCGGGTGCAGTGGCTCACACCTATAATTCCAGCACTGTGGAAGGCCAAGGCAGGTGGATCATGAGGTCAGGAGATCGAGACCATCCTGGCTACCATGGTGAAACCCCATCTCTATTGAAAATACAAAATATCAGCCAGGCATGGTGGCATGCACCTGTAGTCCCAGCTACTCAGAAGGCTGAGGCAGGAGAATCACTTGAACCCAGGAAGTGGAGGTTTCAGTGAGCCAACATCATGCCACTGCACTCCAGCCTGGGTGACAGAGTGAGGCTTCATCTCAAAAAGAAAAAAGCAGCAGCTGCAGCTCAACAAACAAACTAAGGTACACACAAAGATATTTATAACAAACACATATAAGCACAATTTCAAAAGCCACAGACAAGAAGAGGATGAAGTTGTAAGATAAAAGATGTGTCATTTGTAAGCTCTCTCTTATGAGAGAGCCGGTGAACTGTCCACAAACTTTGCAGGCTAAAAGGAAACTGTGATATAGTCAAAGCCCTGGGGAGAAAAAAAAAAAAAGATATAAAATGAGATTAATACCATCAGCATATCTGTCCTGCCAAATAAAAGAATAAACAAACTTCGAAAATAACCAAATTCTGAAAAGTCTATTTGTACTTCATTTGCCCTAAAAAGCAAAGGTGCTGAAGGCAGTTGCTTCTGTTCAAAATAACATGATTTAACAAAATAGCACAATCATATAAAATACATTATTCCCTGGGACAGAAATATACATGCAACAAAAAATGGAATTTCTTAGCATAATAATGATACAAAAACATTTAAAAATATTCTCGAGGCCGGGCACGGTGGCTCAAGCCTGTAATCCCAGCACTTTGGGAGGCCGAGGCAGGTGGATCATGAGGTCAAGAGATCGCGACTATCCTGGTCAACATGGTGAAACCCCATCTCTACTAAAAAAATTAAAAAATTAGCTGGGCATGGTGGCGTGTGCCTGTAGTCCCAGCTACTCGGGAGGCTGAGGCAGGAGAATTGCTTGAACCCAGGAGGCGGAGGTTGCGGTGAGCCGAGATCGCGCCATTGCACTCCAGCCTGGGTAACAAGAACGAAGTTCTGTCTCAAAAAAAAAAATTCTCTAAAATTTGAAAGGGAAAAGCATAGAAATCATTATAAACATATGTCAATATACAACATAATATATATAATTACCAATATCACTGACAAATTTGAGGCAGACATAATGAGAAAAAATTTTTGAATGCAACTGAAGTTCACTTTTTAACAGATTAAAATACATTGTTTTATCTTTTAGATGTTTTACCTAATCCCCAAGGTACCACCAAGAATGTATCTGCATATCTGGCAGAAGACTTTCCTATACAGTGAAACAAAAAAGAAAGAAAAGAAAGAACAATATATTTGCATAGATAAATGAAAATAAGGAAGAAGTAAAAACATATCAAAATAAGTATAAAAAAGACACACAGAAAAAGAGAAAATGAGGAACAAAGATAGAAGAAGCAAATAAAACCACAGCATTTCTAAGTCTTCGTAAGAAAAATAAAATTCTTTTCAGACATGCAAATCCTGAAGGAATACATCACCACCAAGCCTGCCTTGATAGAACTCCTAAAAAAAGCACTAAATATGGGAAGAAAAAAACATTACTCCTGCATAATAACAGTGAGAGACTTTAACACTCCACTGTTAATATTATACAGATCATTGAGACAGAAAAGTAACAAGAATATTTAGGACTCGAACTCGGCTGTGGGTCAAGTGGACCTGATAGATATCTGGAGAATTCTCGAGCTACAAATAACACAATACACATTTGTTTAAGGTCCACATGGCACTTAATTCTAACACCGATCACACAATCGGAAGTAAAACACTACTCAGGAAATGCAAAAGAACTGAAATAGTCACAGTCTCTCAGACTGCAGTGAAATCGAATTAAAACTCAAGAGCAAGAAACTCACCAGGCACAATAGCTCATGCCTGTAATCCCAGCACTTTTTTTTTTTTAACTGATTCTTGCTCTGTCATTAGGCTGTAGTGCAGTGGTGCAATCTCGGCACCTCCACCTTCTGGTTCAAGTGATTCTCCTGCCTCAGCCTCCTGAATAGCTGGGACTATAGACACATGTCACCAAGCCCAGCTATGTGTTGTTGTTGTTTTGTAATTTTTTGTAGAAACAGGGTTTCACCATGTTGGCCTAAAAGGTCTTGATCAGAGGCCAATGTGGGTAGACCGCTTGATATCAGGAGGTTGGGGTCAGCCTGGCCAACACAGGGAAACCCCATCTCAATGAAAAATACAAAAAATTAGCTGAGCAGGGTGGCACATGCCTGTAATCTTAGCTACTCAGGAGACTGAGGCACAAGAATCACTTGAAGCCAGGAGGCAGAAGTAACAGTGGACAAAGATCAAGCCACTGCACTCCAGCCTCGGTGACAGAGTAAGATTCTGTCTCAAAAAACAACAAAAACTCAAGAATAAGAAACTCACTCCAAAACACACAATTACATAAAAATTGAGCAATCTGCTCCTGAAGGACTTCTGGCCAAATAATAAAATTAAATTGGAGGCTGACAACTACAGCCATAGCCTTCTAAACATGTCCAATCTTGGAAGCTAAGCAGGGTCAGGCCTTGCCGAGACTTAGATAGAAGATTGCCTGGGAATACTGGGTACTATAAGCTTTGGCCAGGCAAGGTAGATCATGCCTGCAATCCCAGCACTTTGGGAGGCCGAGGCGGGTGGATCATGAGGTCAAGAGATCGAGACCATCCTGGTCAACATGGTGAAACCCGTCTCTACTAAAAATACAAAAACTTAGCTGGGCATGGTGGCACGTGCCTGTAATCCCAGCTACTCAGGAGGCTGATGCAGGAGAATTGCCTGAACCCAGGAGGCGGAGGTTGCAGTGAGCCGAGATTGTGCCATTGCACTCCAGCCTGGGTAACAAGAGGGAAACTCAGTCTCAAAAAAAAAAAAAACCAAAAACAAAAATTAGCTGGGTTAGGTGGCAGGCGCCTGTAATCCCAGCTGCTTGGGAGGCTGAGGCTGGAGAATGGCTTGAACCCGGGAAGCGGAGGTCGCCATGAGCTGAGATTGTGCCATTGTACTTCAGCCTGGGTGAAAGAGCAAGACTTCGTCTCAAAAAAATAAAAATAAAATAAATAAATAATTTAAAGGAAAGAGATAATCAGCTAAGCCATAACCAATATTGGGGTCATATTTATAAACAAACACATATATATAAACTGATTATGATAGACATATGGCTGAGTTATCCCTCAATTAACCTCGAATTGACTTAAAAGTATACAAACAAAGTTGCAAATTGGCTAAAATTATATAAGAAAAACTAAAAACACAATATGCTGATGTTAAGAAACCTACACTAAAAAAAACACTATTATGAAACTGCACAAGAATAAATGACACGTTTACTCATAAAATCTGGTATGAAGTATTCATTTACTATTAAAAGAGAATTGTTTGCGCAGAATGGCTCATGCCTATAATCCCAGCATTTTGAGAGGCTGAGGCCAGTGGATCACCTGAGGTTGGAAGTTTGAGAGCGGCCTGATCAACATAAAGAACGCTTGTCTCTACTAAAAATACAAAATTAGCTGGGTGCGGTGGCACAGGCCTTTAACCCCAGCTACTTGGGAGGCAGAGGTTGTGGTGAGCTGAGATCATGCCATCGTATTCCAGCCTGGGCAACAAGAGCAAAACTCCATCTCAAAAAAAAAAAAAGATCCAGATAACAACAATGTTTGACTGTGTACTGATGGAAGGCAAGTACTTCAAATAATTTGGCATGCACTGTGTGGCAGTGAAATTTCACAGAACATTATATTTATAAACAGAATATTCTAATGAGAAAGTTTAATAAATAAGCGGTTGAAGAAATGTGATAATTTTTGAATATATGCTATTCTTACACAAAATTAAACTGCTGAATTCCCACTTTAGAAGCAAAGAATAGATTATATTGCTAAATTAAAACTTATATTTTGAAGAACAGAGTTAGAGCCTCTAATATGCAAACCAAACATTCAGAAATAAATTATATTACCATTTAGATGTACGCTGAAGAAACTGGGTGAAAATCCTATAATTCCTTTTTACCCGCAACGAACTTAAATTTATAAGTAACCATTTTAGTAATATGGAGTGCCTACAAACTGTCTAATTTCAGGCATAACATATAAATTCTACCATATTGTTCTGAATGTTTGAAGCTAAAATTACAGACGTTTGAAATGAAAAAATACAAAGTAAAAATGTATAGAAAAAGTAATATCAGTGACATACAAAAATAAAAGGTGCTCATTGACCAGGCGCGGTGGCTCATGCCTGTAATCCCAGCACTTTGGGAGGCTGAAGCAGGCAGATCATGAGATCAAGAGACTGAGACCATCCTGGCCAACATGGTGAAACCCCGTCTCTACTAAAAATACCAAAATTAGCTCGGCGTGGTGGCACACTCCTGTAGTCCCAGCTACTCAGGAGGTTAAGGCAGGAGACTCACTTGATTCCAGGAGGCAGAGGTTGCAGTGAGCCAAGAATGCAACACTGCACTCTAACCTGGTGACAGACTGAGACTCCATCTCTAATAATAATAATAAAAATAAAAGGTGCTCTATTTGATTTTCCTCCCCACAGCAAAAAAAAAAAAAAAAAAAAATTCTCAGTCATCCCTAACAAAAATTCCTTCATGAGAGAGCCAGGCATCATGGCTCACATGTGTAATGATGGCTACACGGTATGATGAGGTTGGAGAATTTCTGCAGGCCAGGATTTCCAGACTAGCCTGGGTGACAAGCACAACCCCATCTCCAAAGTAAGTGCCTTTAAGAGCTTTGAGATCCAGGGAGGGAGTTGTGAAACTCTGCTGAAGCCCAAGATTGAGGAGTGTTCTTTTCAGAGGATAGGTTCTTATTTAGATAGGAAACTACAGGGTCCTTGGCCTTGGTTACAGACCAAGAAATGTCCCAACCAACTTGGTCCCACTGAGATTTCTGAAGTTTACTCTAGTAACTCCAGTTACAGTCTGGGATAGGTCCGGCTTTTTCGGAGTCAGGGAGGAAGATACCAATTTGCAGCCATGCAGGCAGGCCTAGAGACCTTGGTTTTTACTGTGATCCCTGAATCAGTTCAATGACTCACTTCCACATCTCTGAGTCACAGTTCATGACCAGTTTTGCCTAAATAGAAACCCACACAGCAACGAGAGGAAATCCTCTCTGGTATTCAGTGAAAACCATACCCATTCACATCCTGATATAAGGGTAATTATATATGGACCCAATTGCAGAAACCTGCCCTGTGTCTGCCCTACAGATCGAAGTCCTGAACAACAGTCAGTCTGTCCAAAATGAGAATCAGAATTACAATTACCCAAGGCCTTTGTGACAAGCCATCTAAAGGTGGACCCTAGTGCAGACACAGCAGCCTTGTGACCAAGCTACAATCCCTCCACTACAAACCCAGAGGGACCCATTTGCAGGTAGAGCATGAGGTCAAGAGTTCAATACCAGCCTGGCCAAGATGGTGAAACTCTGTCTCTACTAAAAATTCAAAAATTAGTGGGTGTGGTGACAGGAACCTGTAATCCCAGCTACTTGGGAGACTCAGGCAGAAGAATTGCTTGAACTCGAGAGGCGGAGGTTACAGTGAGCCAAGATGACACCACTGCACTCCAGCCTGGGTGAGAGAATGAGACTCTGTCTCAAAAACAAAAACAAAAACAAAAAACAAACAAAAAAATTGGAATTGAAGACAAATTAAGTAAAAAGTTGCTGTTTTGGGACTGTATAATCTCATATATATATAAAAATACACAGTACATTCAAATTTGTCTAAACTAATAAATACAGTCAATAACTTAACAGAACACAAAATCAACATGCAAGTTATGGTTCCATACACTTAAACTGATAACAATAGAGAAAGAAAACAATCTTATTTATAATAGCATTAAAATAATAAATTTCTGAGAACAAATTCAACCAAGAAGGTAAAAAAATCTTTACAATGAAATATATATCAATGAAAGAAATTTAAAAAGACAAAAATAAATTTAAAAATATTTCATTTTGGCCAGGCACAGTTGCTCATACCTGTAATCCCAGCACTTTGAGAGGCAGAGGTGGATGGATCACGAGGTCACGAGATCGAGACCAGTCCAGACAACATGGTGAAACCTTGTAACTCTACTAAAAATACAAACATTAGCCAGGCATGGGGGCACATGCCTGTAATCCCAGCTACTTGGGAGGCTGAGGCAGGAGAATCATTTGAACTCGGGAAGCAGAGGTTGCAGTGAGCTGAGATCAGGCCATTGCACACCAGCCTGGTGACCTAGCGAGACAGTCTTTAAAAAAAATTATGTCTATGGATTATAAAAAAAATTATGTCTAAAGAATATTGTTAAATTGCCAGATTATCTAAAGTAATCTATACATTCAATAAACTCCCAATCAAAATTCCAGTGGCATTTTTTCACAGTAATAAAAAATACAATTTAAAATTTATAAGAAACTACAATAAACTTCAAATAGCAAAAGCACTCTTGAGAAAAAAGAACAAAGTAGAGGAACATCATAATTCACAATTTCACACTGTATTTTAAGACTATGGTAACACAAACAAAATGGAATGTGCAGAAAAATTCACAAAGAAACCTTGAATGGAACAGAAACCACTACTCTCACACATCTTAGACACGATGCAAAAAGAGAACTAAAATATGTTTCGTTTTGAAAAACACGGAGTTTTTCAAAATAACCCAGATATTTGTGTTTCCCAAAAAATGAAAAAGCAGACAGATGTACAGTCCCCTTTTTTTAGACGGACTCTCTCTCTGTCACCCAGGCTGGAGTGCAATGGCATGATCTCAGCTAACTGAAACCTCCGCTTCCTGAGTTCAAGTGATTCTTCTGCCACAGCTTCCCAAGCAGCTAGGATTAAAGGCACCCACAACCACATCGGACTAATTTTTGTATTTTTGGTAGAGATGGGGTTTTACCATGTTGTCCAGGCTGGTCTCGAACTCCAGACCTTGTGGTCTGCTGGCCTTCACCTCTTAAATTGCTGAGATTAAAGGTGTAAGTCACTGTGGCCAGCCCGTACAGTGTCTTATATGCCATGAAGAGGACTTTGGCTCTCACTGTAAACTTGAAGGAAGATTACCCAAGGAAAAGTAGAATTCTTAGAGAATGTAGCAGCATAAGACAGAAGATGCCCCTATGTAAGAGCAAAATTTAAGAAAATACTCAGACCTCCCAGAAACTATTTGCTTTGCAACACAGCTTCCCAAATCATGTTGTAAGAACTGGCTTTTTGTTTGCTTAACCTTTGGACCTCTCATCTGTGTTGTTTGTTGTATTTACTCTCACCTACCTGTGGGTTTGGCCATGATCTCATATCTTATCATATTCTGGGGCTCTTTTCCTTGCTCCAGACAGGTGACCGGGTTTTGCTTAGAGACAGCAATACCTGCTTTATTAAAAATAAATAACATAAATCTTTTAATAACATAATTATTAACAATCTAATTACCAACCGAGTACTGTGCTCAGTAAAAATGATGTGATAGAGTATTCTAGAAAATTGATCCCCAAATACTCATTAATGAGAGACATCTCTAAATATTTAGGAAATATTTTAAATTTTCAGGTCCTTCATTTTACTACCTGGTACTCATGAATCAAAAATTGATGGTGGTTGGAGGTGCCAGGTCGAAAATTAAAAAAAAAAAAAAATGATGGTGGCAAATAGATTTTAAGATATGGGAAACTGGGTGAGGTGGCTCACACCTGTAATCCCAACACTTTGGGAGGCCAGGGAGGGCTGATCACGAGGTCAGGAGATCGAGACCATCCTAGCTAAGCTGATAAAACCCCTTCTCTACTAAAAATACAAAAATTAGCCAGGTGTGGTGATACGCACCTGTACTCCCAGCTACTCAGGAAGCTGAGGCAGGAAGATCGCTTGAACCCAGGGAGCGGAGGTTACCGTGATCCAAGGTCACACCACTACACTCCAGTCTGAGTGACAAGAGCGAGACTCTGTCTTCAAAAAAAAAAAAGATATGGGCAATAGTATTTTATGCCACTAAATTTTAGAAATGTGGAGGGTAGGTGAAGATAAAACATGTTGAAGAAATTCTTTTCTGCACAGACAGATCGTCAAGATTTTCTTAAAATAAGGATCAGAAACATTTATACAAAGTATAAATTACAAAATAAAATATAAAAAAGACATCAACTTTTAGAGTATATTAAGAATTGTGTATTAAAGTTATTCTCACCCAAAAAGACTAGGTTTCTGTAGTTCTCTAACATCACATTTCTATATAAACTCTGCTGAGCAGTGTCCAGGCATTGCCACTCCTCCAGAGAGAATTCTATGGCCACATCCCTAAATGTCAGCGTCTCCTGAAAAACACAAATATGGACACACATATATTTACCAAGTGGCCACAGGCATAATTTATTATTTGAATTAAGGCTAAACAAGAGAGTAAAGAGAGCTGACTTATAAGAACAACTGAAATTAGTCTGGGTGTGGTGGCTCATGTCTGTAATCCCAGCACTTTGGGAGGCCTAGGAGGCTGGATCACGAGGTCAGGAGTTCAAGACCAGCCTGACCAATGTGGTGAAAGTCTGACTTTACTAAAAATACAAAAACTATCTGGGCATGGTGGCACACACCTGTAATCCCAGCTACTCAGGAGGCTGAGGCAGGAGAATCGCTTGAACCCAGGAGGCTGAGGTTGCAGTGACCTGAGATCTTGCCACTGCACTCCAACCTGGGTGACAGAGTAAGACTCTGTCTCAAAACAACGACAAAAAAAGGGTAACTAAAATTCTCCAATAATTTTCAACACACAAATATTCTCTAACGTATTCTCTTACTCTGATGAAAGAGAATGGCGTAAGATCCAAAACACCAGTGCATATATAATACTTTTCTCTATAATAAGGTGTACAGTTATGGACATAAACAAAAATATATGCATTGTTGAGTGCTATATTTACAACATAATGAGTTGTATATATTTTTCAGACAAAAAAAAATGTTGATTTAGAAAGTACCTCTCAAAGTTAAATGCGTACAATAACGGGAGATCTTACGGTGAAGTTTTTTGTTTTGTTTTGTTTTCCTTTCCCCAGAAGACCTGGAATAAAGTCTGAGTTTTAAAAATTCTAACAAGGTCACTAGTAATGACAATGTTTTTGACCCAAGAAGACTATCTTGTCAAACATTCAGTAAGGGAAAGAAACTGTTTTTCCCAATTTTTCTGGCCTGTAAACAAAGGTAAGAGCCTTCATTTTCCTAAGACAGACTTGTGACACACACACACACACGCACACACACATGCGCGTGCGCACACACGCAAAAGAAAGAAACATAAGAAAAAATGGCAGGTGCCAGATTAAATGTGATGGTTTACTCAAATGAGCTGCATAAATATACTTAATGATAGAGAAAAATAACTGACTCTATACTGAAAAAAGTCAGAGTTCTTTTGCTAAGTAAATTATTATCAACTACACTAGAAAAAAATTTCATGAGGTGCTGATGCATACAGAAGAACACAGTATCACTGCTGAGATATTTAATAATCAAAAATAATTAAAGATTGAATTTAACCGTAAAGAAAAATCAGGTGCAGTGGTCCACGTCTATAATGCCAGCACTTTAGGAGGCCGAGGAGGGTGGACTGCCTCCGCTCAGGAGTTCGACCAGCCTAAGGAACATGGTAAAACCCCAACTCTACTAAGAAAAAAAAAAAAAAAGCCAGACATGGTGTCATGCACCTGTAATCCCAGCTACTCAGGAGGCTGAGACAGGAGAATCACTGGAACCCAAGAAGTAGAGGTTGCAGTGAGATGAGATTGTGCCATTGCACTCTAGCCTGGGCAAGAGAGTGAGACTCCATCAAGGAAGGAAAGAAAGGAAGGAAAGAAGGGAGGGAGGCTGGGAGGGAGGAAGAAAGAAAGAAAAGAAAAATCAGTTTTATACAAAGGTCAAGATATTTCCCATGCTCAACAATTTTTTTTTGAAATGGAGATTCCCTCTGTCACCCAGGCTGGAGAGCAGTGTGCAATCTCCACCTCTTAGGTTTAAGCAATTCTCCTGCTTCAGCCTCCTGAGAAGCTGAAATTACAGGCACACACCACCATGTCTGGCTCATTTTTCTATTTTTAGTAGAGACGGGGTTTCACCATGTTGGTCAGACTGGTCTCAAACTCTGGATCTCATGATCTGCCTGCCTCAGCCTCCAAAGTGCTGGGATTACAGATGTGATCCACCGTGCCTGGCCTATAATTTTAATAATTATTTTAAGTAGACTTTCTTTAGCACCCTAGAGAGCAGGAATCTCAATAATATTTTTTCAGAACTTCCTGGGTACTAAATGCCATCCCATTTAAATAAGTGCTTTCTTAATCCTGTTCTGAACAGTGCTAATAGGGAACACAGATGAAACCTCAACATTCTATGTTCTCCGTCTTTACTAATGACCTCAGCTTTCCCCCAGTAGGAATCATGAGTATCCACATCTTCTCCTTTTCAACTGGCACAAAGGAACACTTTTTTTTTTTTTTTTTTTTTGAGACAGAGTCTCCCTCTGTCACCAGGTGCCAGGCTGGAATGCAGTCGAGCGATCTCAGCTCACTGCAACCTCCACCTCCCAGGTTGAAGCAATTCTCCTGCCTCAGCCTCCCAAGTAGCTGGTACTACAGGTGCACACCACCACACCCAGCTAATTTTTTGTATTTTTAGTAGAGACGGGGTTTCATCATGTTGACCAGGATGGTCTCGATCTCTTGACCTCGTGATCCACCTGCCTCGGCCTCCCAAAGTGCAGGGATTACAGGCAGGAGCCACTGCGCCTGGCCTAAACAAATCTCTTGAAGTTTT